TCCCTGCTCTAACCAACTAGATCCCACCCCCTTCCCAGAGGTCGGAATAGAACCCAGGAGTCCTGGCTTCCTTACCCCTGCTCTAAGCATTAGACACATCAGGGGTTCTCCCACAGTCCTCTCTAGGAAGCAAGCGGGAGTTTCTCTCTGACGATGACTTTAGGGTGGAACGTTCGCTGCTCCCCAAGAATATGGCTCGCTCGGTGAGTTTCTCGCTGTGCCCGCAGTGAGTCCTGGCTCTCCGCCTCTTTGCAGGTTCCATCTGGCAGCTTCCAAAGGGCTCACCGAATGCCTGACCATCCTGCTGTCTCATGGGGCCGAAGTCAATGAGAAGAATGACGACGGTACGTGTAGGGATTTCCCTGGCTCGGCGGAGGAGTAGAGAGTGCAGGGCTGGCCTGGACTGATGCTCCATCTAAGCCAGTGTTTCCCAAACTTGGGACGCCGCTTGTGAAGGGAAAGCCCCTGGCGGGCCGGGCCGGTTTGTTTACCTGCCCCGTCCACAGATTCAGCCGATTGTGGCTCCCACTGGCTGTGGTTCGCTGCTCCAGGCCAATGGGAGCTGCTGGAAGCGGTGGCCAGCACATCCCTCGGCCCGCGTCGCTTCCCGCAGCCCCCATTGGCCTGGAGCAGCGAACTGCGGCCAGTGGGAGCCGCGATCGGCCGAACCTGCGGACGGGGCAGGTAAACAAACTGGCCCAGCCCACCAGGGGCTTTCTCTACACAAGCGGCATCCCAAGTTTGGGAATCACTGATCTAGGCTAATAGCCATCCCGCCCTCTGGCAGGCCAACTCAGATCACTGGTCCCTCCAATCCAGCATCACGCCTCCTGCCCGGCCCATACAGATAAATGGTCCAGGTAGTCTGGAGTCCCAGCTCCTGCCCAGTGGTCCATGGGGAATTTGATCCAGAGCTCACTGAAATCAGTGACTTCAGTGGGCTTTGGACCCGGCCCCTTGGCTGGTATCCCACCTTCTGCCTCACTGGAACACATCAATGGGCCATCTAGTGCTGGGGTCCTGGTTCGGGACCAAGTGCGACTACAATGCAGATAATAACAAGAGGATATTCACTCTCACCAACGGTTGGTCTTATCCCATTTCCTGCCTCCTGTCAGACCAGATTAGCTAAATTGTCTCCCTCTATTAGTACCCCACCATCCCCCGCCAGGCCCAATGGGCCACTCAGGCTGATATCCTGGCTCTGACGGTGGCCAGCACCACGTTTCAGTGGACGGCCCCAATTTGGGCCCAAATCCCACCTGTGCACCTTGTTGTTCCCTGGCCAGGATGGCAGGGGAGCAGCTTGCATCTTGAAGGATGAAAATTAGTAGCCGGAGGGCCAGAGGCCCCCGCAGTGGCACGGAACTGACGAAGTGAGGTACAGCCAGATAATCAGAGGAGAGGGATAGCTCAGTGGTTTGAGCATTGGCCTGTTAAACCCAGGGTTGTGAGTTCAATCCTTGAGGGGGCCATTTAGGGATCTGGGGCAAAAATTGGGGATTGGTCCTGCTTTGAGCAGGGGGTTGGACTAGATGACCTCCTGAGGTCCCTTCCAACCCTGATATTCTATGAATCCTGGCACCCACACGCTGCAGAGGAGGCAAACCCCTGGACCCTGCTGATCTGACCTGGGAAATAATTCCTTCCCCAGCCCACCTATGATCATCAGTGGGGCCCTGGAGCAGGCGAGCCAGACCCAGCCAGCCTGGTGCCACTGCAGACCCTGGCACTGCCCCTGGGCGTGTCCTGAACCTGCCCCCCACAATCAGGGTCTGTTACTGGGCACCAGGCATGTTGAGCCCTGAGATGAGTCCAGGGGCTGATCGGCCTCCCACCCCCTCCCCTCCCTGGGAGAGATGAAGCTGTTTTCACCCCTGCTCTGTGCACCCACAGCGAGTCACAGACTCCCCAGCTCCGGGCAGGGTTTAGCTTTCTGTTCCTGAGACGTGATGCTCTCCCTTTGCTCTGCTCCCCAGGCAGCACGGCGTTGCACCTGGCCACCATCGCCTGCCAGCCCCAGTGCGTCAAGGTTCTGCTGCAGGTAAAGATGGAAATTGCCCTCCCTGCCCCCATGCACCGGGGTGTTCCCCTCTGGGGCTCAAGCCATCAGTTGGGCAGCCACAGGGTCCATCTGATTCCTTACAGACTCACTTCACGTTCACTGACAGGGTCTGTAGGAGGCTGCAGTGGGGTCTGCTGGTTGGATCAGGGGCCAGGACCTCTTGGGTTCTCCTCTGAGAAAAGATGGGCTATCTGGTCTATGGGTCTAGTGGTTAGAGTAGGGGGGGTCTGGGAATCAGGACGCCTGGGTTCTATTCCCGGCTTTGGGAAAGGAGTGGCTGTCTAGTGGTTAGAGCTGGGAGGGGGAATGGGAGTCAAGGGCCTGGGTTCTGTTCTTAGTCCGGGTGACTTGTGGAGAGTCCCTTCCACCGCACCGTGCCTCAGTTTCCCCAGCTGTGACATGAGAATGATAGAGCCTCTCCTTCCATTCGATGAATGAAGATCATGAGAGGGCTGCGCCTGTGATTCGCAAGAGGGGCATTGGGAGCATGGTAATCCAAACTGGGTGGAATTCAAGCTAAACTGGGCCGGGATCAGCTGAGAATGCAGAGCCCTCAGCCACCTTGTGCATTTCAGGGACGAAATGAGACCTGAAGCTGGACATAGGGGTGGGGGGCTCCCTGTAGAGCAGGGGTTCTCAAACTGGGGGTTGGGACCCCTCAGGGGGTCGCGAGATTATTACATGGGGGGGGTCGCGAGATGTCAGCCTCCATCCCGAACCCCGCTTTGCCCCCAGCATTTATAATGGTGTTCAATATATAAAAAAGTGTTTTTAATGTATAAGGAGGGGTCGCACTCAGAGGCTTGCTGTGTGAAAGGGGTCACCAGGACAAAAGTCTGAGAACCCCTGCTGTAGAGTAACTGGGTCCCTAACTTGGATTTCTGGGAGCACCGGTGGAGCTGCAAAACATGGAAGCTCCCCCAGATCTAATCACATTTTCTAGCGGGGGTGGAAAATGGAGGGGGCCCTTCAGAGCCCGGCGTGCACAGGTGCAATTTCTACTCTCCGTTACCCCACTATTGATCTGGAGTAACCCCAGATGTAGAGGGAGCTGTTCTGCATTTCCCCCCGCCAAACCAGAGATCAGAAACTGGGCCCCAGCCTCCTCCTGGCTCTGTGGGTGGCATCCCACGAGGCTACCATGCCCTAGCCCAGCCCAGCAGTGGCCGTGCCCCATCTCCTGGCATTTGAGCTGCTCCGGGGCTAATCATTTCCCTCCGGTGTGGCAAGGTGTGGCCGGGGAGTTTCAGTCTAGAGGTGACAGGGTAGCAATGGGCGAGACAGAAATGTAACAGGCGTGTCTCTTAGCTCAGGGCAGTGAGCAAATTCCTGCTTGACCACTTGCTGTGTTGGCTGTTTGGCCTCATAGCAGCCAGCAAAACCCCTCCAGATGAACGGATGCCTTGGGATCCTCTGAGAGAAGGCGCCGGGGAGACGTGGGCAGTTGTTCCTGAATTAAGCCCTTGGCTGCCTGGATAATTAGCCCTACTTTACCGCTGGGGAAGTGGAGGCTCGGACAGGTCGGGGTTGGCTCGCCCGAGGTTCTGCAGTGAGTCAGTGCTGGAGATGGGAAAACAAGATCTCCTGTCTTCCCAGATCTGTGCTGGGCAGCACTGTGGGGCCTCCACTGTGCTCGGGGCTGTACAAACAGCCAGAGACTGTCCCGACCCCAACGAACTGAGACAAACAAAGCCAGAGGAATGGTCATTATCCCCATTTTACAGATGGGGAAACTGAGGCCCAGAGATTTTTTTTTTTTAAGTGACTTGCCTCAAGGTCATGCAGGGAGTCCGTGGCGGCCTTGGGGCTAGAGTCTAGGCATCTGGAGTCCACTTAATTGAGGGGCATCATCTGTCCTGGATACCTGGAAGCCCTGCTTGGCTCACCCCAGGGTGAGGGTTCCTGCTGTCCCACGTCGGCCGGGCCATGTCTCTCTCTGGGGCAGGAGGTGGGTCTGTGGCTCTGCGCTCCAGCCGCCCCCTGGCCCCCTGGCAGGGGGGGGGGGGGGAGGTGGCCATTCTCACGTGCTGCCCTCACGGCCACGTTTGTTCCTCGCAGCACGGCGCCAACGAGGACTGCGTGGATGGGGAGAACCGCACCCCCCTACACTGGGCCGGTGAGTCAGTTCCGGGTGGCGCAGGCTGTCGGGCCGGGCGAGGGGAAAAGCTGAGCCCTGTCTGACGCGCGCGTCACGGCAGATCTTCTAATGGGGCTGAGGCGTGAGGGGCTCGGAGCCAGGCTGATCAGCAGGGGGAGGCTGAGCCCGGGCTCCTGGAGACACCCGGAGGGGGCTGAGAGCTGGCTGGGGCCCCGTCTCCCAGCAGGGAGATCTGACGAGTTCCCTCCCATCACGGTCGTCTTCTCGTTGCTATTCTAGAGAGACAGACACGAGGCAGGTCTCCCATGGGAGTCCCTAGATTCTTCTCTCTCTAGACCTCACCATCCCCATACGTGTCTGTCTGTCTATCGCCGTGCAAACCTGCCTGTCTGTCCTAGCTACCTACTTGTCTTTCTATCCCCCGACGTACCTCTGTCCACCTCTCGCTCCATCCCCAGACATGTGTCTGTCTGTCTGTCCATCCGTAGGGATGGGATGCTGACAATGCGCATTGCCTGTGCATGTCCACTGGGTGTCGCCGTTGATTAGGTGAAGCCAGCCAGGGGCCATATGGACCTCGAAAAGGCTGATTTGAGTGTGGGCAAAATATACCAGTCCCTACCAGCTGCCCGAGTCCCCAGGATATTGCCCTGCAGGGATAGCGGGTGGGGAGCCAGACTGCAGGAGTTGGATCAGGGCAGTGGATTGTGTTCCAGCCATTCCCCCCACACCCACCTTCAAGGAGAGGACCCGAGCGACCAGGGATGGAACAAATCTAGAGAGCCCGGTCCCATCAAGTATCTAGTCCACCTTTTTGGCCAACGCTGCCTGGCTTGCCCAGTCTAGCTGTAAATATGCCCTGGGACAGGGCTTCCCATGGGAGATGCCCTAACAGATCTCCCTCCCTCCCTCCCCCTCCTGGGGGTTTAAACCCACGTGGGGAAATGACCCTGCTCGGGTCTCGCCTCGTCTGAAGAACCACCCTGTGCAGAGAACAAGGCCCCAGCTTCAGGAGGTCTCGAGTGATGACGGTCAGACTGAAGACTCCTTCCCTCATTGGCCCTTGAGAGAGGGCGTACCTGGTGCACTGGGCAGCCGGGGCCTAGCGTGACAGCAGCCAGGCGTGTCCCTCGAGCACTGACCGCTCCTTTTCCTCCTGCCCTGCAGCCTCGTCAGGGTGTGCGTCCAGCGTCTTGCTCCTGTGCGACCAGGAGGCCTTCCTGGATGTCATCGATAACGTGAGTGTAAAACCTTCAGGACAGGGCCCGGTGAAAGGACCCTCACGAGGGGTGAAACTCGCTCCCCGTGTGGAGGGCACAGGCCAGGGGCCTCATAACCTTTGCAAGGGCTCGGGGAGCCGGCTCCCAGCCACTGGGTGCTGGGAAGCCGCGCCGGCTTTGGGTGGGGCTCCGCGCACCCTGCCACGCAAACCGCCTCTGCCGTTCCTTCCAGAACGGACGCACGCCCCTGATGATAGCGGCCGTGGGGAACCACCCCACCATCTGCTGCCAGCTGCTCCAGAGAGGGGCCAGCGGCCACCTCACCGACAAGGACCAGAAGTGAGTCTTGCCTGGGCTCTGAGAATCAAAACAGCACTGGCACCGGGGGCATTGTGGGGGGTTTCCCCCAGGAAATGGCGGGGAGGGAGCAGTTCCCCAGGGGCATTATGGGCATTCTCACCAGGGAATGGGGGGGAGGGAGCAGTTCCCCAGGGGCATTATGGGCATTCTTGTGCCACAGGACCCTCAGTTGCTTGTCTCAATATGGGACCTCGTCTCACCCACTGTCCCCAGGTTTCACGAGGTGGCCCCCAAGGCCTTCCAGAACTTCTGGGAGCTGCTGTGGGTCCTGTGGGACTGCTGGCTCACAGGGATTAGCCTGTTATTACAGGAGTCCCCTAAAATTTCTCAGCCTGGTCTGGGGGCCGGGACCACCCGAGAGACGGGGGTCATGACTGGGAGTCAGGCGCTTGCAGCCAGCCTCTCCTTCCTGTATTACTACCTGGGGAGGGGTTGGGGCTAGCCAACAATGGGCAGCCCCAGGTTGGGGGGCCCCGTACAGGAAAGGTTCAGAACTGCTGCCCTAAATGGGAGCTGCTCCAGTGGACCAGAGCAGAGAGGGCCAGTTGAGAGGGATCCACACACAGGGATTATCCCAGGTGGCCTGGCTGCAAGGGGTGCCCTTGGGGCTCCCTAGAACTGACCCTGACGCCCCCTCACGTCCCCCTCCAGGACTGCTCTGATCCTGGCCTGTGAGAACTCCAGTGTGGAGTCAGCCGAGCTGCTGGTAAGCAGCGGGGTGGACCTCAGCGTGGTGGACAGGATGGGCCACGACGCCCTGCACTACGCCCTGCAGTCCCAGAGCCGCCCGCTGAGGAGGCTGCTGCGCAGTGCCCTGAAGAAGAGGAAGAGAAGAGGTGAGGAGAAGGGGCTGCTGGTTTGGGGGTCAGGAAGGGATTGAGGTGGGGGAGTTCACCTTCCTGTGTAGCATGGGGCACGGGTCCCTTGCTGGTTCGAACTAGAGTAACGGGCAGATCCTCTGTCACTCGAAGTCTTTACATCAAGATCGGGCAACGTCAGTAACGCAGCCAGAGGTCCGGGGCCTGTTACAGGCGCGGGTGGGCCAGGTTCTGTGGCCTGCTATGGGCAGGAGGATGTACAGGGTCACGACGGTCCCGTCCAGCTGAACGCCTAGCAGTGGGCTGAGCTATCCAAAATGCACAACAATCAGAGATTAATGCAAGAAGGTTGCTTAGTGCGGGACACATTTCCCACTCTGGCGGAGGCTTCGAAAGGACTTGGGGGACCCTCTGCTGAGAGCCATCGGTAACATGGCAACTATTAGTTAGTAAGTAGCATTTCCGAGATGCAGTAATGCCTCAGAAAGCAGCAAAAACTGTTCCCCCCCCCCTCGCCCCCAGCTTCCACCTCCAACTTTCCCTTTGTGCCTCTAATCGGCTCCTTTGGTTGGATTACACCCACCCTCGCTCGGGCAGGATATTGGTTGCTTGGGGGTGGTTTTTTTTAAATGCGTGTTTGTTTAGTTCATTTGCAAGGAGGTCTCCAGCCTCCGGCAGCTTCTCCAGATGGTTCTGATTTCGAAAAGCAATAATCGGGCTTGGCGGGACTTGGCGAAATGTAATATCCAGGGGACCCTGGTCTTCGGCGTTCTGCTTGCAAGGCTTTGGTTTCCATGGCGACTGCCGTATGGATGAGGGGCAGGGCCAGAGCCAAAAAATAAACCGCCGCAACGGTTCCAAAAGCATCTCAGCCAGTTTTGTTGAGGATAATAAGAAAGCTTTGCGCTTAGGGAGGAAATTCAGCCTCGTGGCTAACGCACAGGACTGGGAATCGGGAGATCTGGCTCTGCTACTGGGGGACGCTGGGCGAGTCACTTCCCCGCTCGGTGCCTCGGTTTACCCAATGGGGGTGTCCAGTGTTTTAAAGCAGGGGTCTGGAAGTTGGAACCCCCAGGTTCTAGTTCCACCTCTGGGGAGGAGTATTGCCTGGTAGTTAGGGCAGAGGACTGGTGTTTTGTAGCTAGCTCTAGGATGGGAGTGTGCTCCCACGGTTGGAGTTGGGTTCTCCTGGGTTCTATTTCTGGCTCGGCTACAAATTCGCTGTGAGACCTTGGCCAAGTCACAGCTGTTGTCATTGGGGATGATCCGTCACCCACCTTACTAGCTGAATTCCTGCTTGTGCAGAACTGGGAGATCCAGAAGGCAGGGCAGCTCTCCACTCTGCGCTACAGAGAGCTTTAAAATTTCATTCAGTGTTTTTATTTTTCCCCTAGCAGAGCACGGACCTGGCCGTCAAACAGGAGCCACTGCACAGGTGAGGAGAACCAGCCAGAGAAAGACTGGAGGTGTGTCAGAGCTTCTTGGCTGTGTTACGCAGCGATAAACTCTGCAGTCCCTGGTTACACATGGAGGATTGGGGGGGGAGTTAGATTGGATCAGGGCGGTCGAGAAGCAGCATCAGCCCTGATTATGCTGCTGTTACCAGGCCTGAACCCGAGGGCTTCATTCCCCAGCGCCGTCCCCTGGCGGCGTCTGTGCAAAATGGGTGCACAAAATGGCTCTTCTCATCTGCTGGCGTTTTCTGCACTGGTGTAAGTGGTGGTGCAAGGGACAGAACTGGGCCTTTTCCCCACCAATTTGGTTCACGTAGAATGCCAGCGAGAGCAGTGATTTTCAGTCCCGACCAGCCGAGGGGCAGATTAGAACTGGCGACCTAAGGTCTATTGGGAAGGGAAAAGGCTCCACCTCCTAGTACCCATCCCCCTGGGGAGTGTCTGGCTGACTTTTGTCCTTGTTATTTATAGGAGAGTAGCACCTAAATGTCCTCAATGTGCTAGGTGCTGCACATACCTAGAGGGCAGGGGGTTCCAAATTTGTGCTGGCACAACTCCATTTTAATAAAGTCTTTCCTGCCGGCACCCTGGACAATCTGGAGGGTGCCATTTTGAAGCGCAAAATGGCGTCTTCCGCACAGCGCAACTTCGCACCCACTGTACGTGTGAGGTCACGGTGCGTGGAGGACGCCATTTTGTAGCGCTTCTCCAATAAACTCATCTGTTCTGTTGTGGTTCCAGGTGACCGCCGAACCACTGGAGCGCAGCAGCAGCAGCACAACCTTGCAGAGCGAGGGAGGCGGAGCCACCGACGGGGATGAAGAGGATCTCGACGCCGAGGAGTGGAGGTGTCGGTACGAAGACGAGCAGACGAAGGTCCTGCAGCTGGAGGAGCAGCTAGTGAGGAAGGCGAAGGAGTGTGATGCCCTGGTGGAAGGGTGCAAGGTGATGAAGGAGAGGATCTGGGACCAGGTGCAGGAGATAAGCCAGCTGTTGCCGGAGAGGGCAGATGAGGGCAGGCGGGTGCTGAGCCGCCGGTACAGCCGGGACACCACAGAAGAGGACTATTACCTGAACCTTTTGGCTGAACAAGTGCAAGAGCTGAAGAAGAGACAGCAAGAGGCAGGGAGAGGAGGAGGCCAGAACGTAGCAGTGAAGGAAGAGAGGATACAGTGGCCGGGGGAGGAGGAAGAGGAGGAGAAGAGACACCATCAGGAGGAGCTGCAGCGGCTCCAGGCCGAAGTGGCCACGGCCCTGCAGGGGAAGGAGAGCGCGACGAAGAGGGTGGTGGAGATCGAAGGCCATCTGGAGAACATGAGGGCGGTGATCGCCGTCTATGAGGCCAAGAAGCGGGCCCATGGTGAGGCACTGGAGCAGCTGCAGGCTCGTGTCGCTGAGCTTGATGGCGACAACCAACGGCTACGCGGGCTGCTGGGAAAGCAGCAGGGAGAAAGCCAGAAGGCGGGAAGGCAGGAGGTGGATCAGAAAGGGCCCAGAGCCGCTCTCTGTGCTGAGCTAGGCCAGTTCCTGTCATGGATGAGGGAGGCGGCTGACAGAGCACAGGAGGAGAAGGCCGCGGTCCTCGCTGAAAACGAGGCTCTGAAGAGGGAGGCAGAGGAGGCCCTCGGGGGCAAATTTCACCTTGAGGCGGTGCCATCAGAAGCCATCAGGAAGAGCGTGGCCTCTTGGGAGAAGATGGTGATGGGCTTAGAACGTGCTCTGGCCAAGATGGATGAGGCCAACTCCAGCCTCCTGGAGAAAGCCAGGCCTCTTCAGGAAGCCATCTCAGCCCCTCAGAGCAAGCAGGAGTCAGGGGTCTTGGTAAACGGCATGGTGGCTTCCCAGCTCCAGGAGCTGAGAAATGGCCTGGAGCAGCATGAGGAGGAGAGCAATGTCTTTAGAGATGAGGCTGAGTCTCCACTGAGGCAACCTCAATCCCCGGAGGAGCTGGAGAAGGGCAGGATGGAAAAGAACCCTCTCCAAGATGGCCCCCATGGGCAACTCAGACCTAGGCTGAGGAATGATTCTGTGGAAACCAAGGGCCAGGCCAGGAGGAGAAGCTCTGACCTAGAGAAAGAGGTGTCGGACCTCAGACAGAACAATGTCAGCCTCATGAACGAGCTGGCGCAGTTGGGCCAGGAGAGGGAGAAGCTACAGGATGAGCTCCAGCGCCTCTGGCAGCACCAGAAGGAGGGGTCCCCCCAAGGAGAGGCGCAGGGCCTGGTGGAGGAGCTGAGGCAGAGAGTGGCCGCCTTGTCCCGGGAGCTGTCAGCCGAGAAGGAAGAGACCAAGAAGCTGAGGCTAAGGCTAGAGACCCAGAAGAGGGAGATGGTGGTGCTGAGGGATAGCTTCCTCAAGCAGATGATGGGAGAGGCCAACAGCGTGGGAAGCCAGAGCCTCAGCACCTGCATCTTGGAGGAGCTGCACTGGAAACTGGACAACCTGGTGAAGAAGCATAACGAGGCCCTGCAGCTGGTGTCGGAGATAGAAGAGGAGAGCCAGGTGCTCGTGGGTGACCAGGCTCCTGCCGTGCAGTGCGAGGCTATCGATGCCGCCGTGGCGGGCGAGAAAAGCCCTCAAAGCCACAGTGTCCAGGCCCTCGGTCAGGAAGCGCCCGAGACCTTGGAGATCGTTGGCGGAGAGCTGGTGCTTGAACCCTGGCGTTGGGTGAATGAGCTGGAGAGAGATCTGTGGGAGCTGAAGGAGGAGCTAGAGGCAGCTCAGGCCACCCTGGGCGGTGAAAGCCACGACGTGACCAAGCTGAAGCAGATGCTCGACCGACTGCCCGTGAAGGTGGCAGAGTTGTGCTCGGAGGAGGAGGAGACCCTGCGGATGCACGAGAAGGCCTGGAGCTCCCTGGCGCTCCAGACTCAGGCTCTGGAAGAGGAGCTGCGAGCCCTTCAGGAGAAGCATGAGGAGGTGAGGGGGAAGTCCGCCCAGCGGGAGGAGGCCCTGGCCGCAGAGAAGCATAAGAACAAGGACCTGCTGGCCAAGATGGCGGAGCAGGAGAAGGAAGCAGGAGAGCTGAGGGGGATGTCGGAGCAGCTGGAGAGAACCATCCAGAAGCTAAACAAGAAGGTGGAGGAGCTCTCCAGGACCTGCCAGGACAAAGAAGGGAAGGTAAGACCAAAGAGACCTCTGAAGCTGGCCAGAGGCCTATTAATGTAGAAGAGCCTGACACAGCACCCATTGAACCAACAGAAAGACTCCCATTGACTTTGATGGTGGCTGAGATCTTCAACTGGTGTAAATCAGGGTAGTTTCATTGTCTTCAATGGAGCTATGCCGACTTACACCAGCCAGCAATTTGGCCTATAGATTTAAGAAGAAAGGACTGAGGGTGGGGGGGGTCTCCACAAACTCCAAAGCTGCCTTCTTAGCAGGATCGCCTGCTTCCCTGGCACGACATCCCACAGCAAGTCCCTGGACTTGCATGTCCAGCTTCCATGGGGTTTGCAAGTGTTGCTCCCAGGGCACAAATCAGCCTTCCGATGCTATTGGTTGAGATTTTCGAAGAGGGGGTTAGACACCCAACGTGCCTGAATCCCATAGCCGGCTTGGAGGGTCTCACGCGCGGGTCCTTTAAATGTTCTCCTGCTCTGGACGCGATGCTCAGGGTTCGATTGTTAACTCACACTGGGACATTGTTCTGTGACAGGGGGTTTCACCCTTATTGAAAATACCAAGGGCCTGATTTTCAGTTGCCCTGCAGCGTAAAAGAGAGTACAACTGAGAATCAGACCCTGCTGGGTTCTGCAGTATTGGTCCAAGGCACTAGAAGTGGAGAAGGGGGCGGTCACGAGCTGGTATGTAGAGATGCCCAGAACACCCCATTTGCAGTGCGCACCCAAGTTTTCATTGATCCTACCAGCCCCAGGAACAATCCTGCATTTTCTTGAGTGCCACACACTGGCACCGTAGCTAATAACTATTTATCTGCGTAGAGCCCTCTGATCAAGATAAAGGTCTTGAGAACATGACCTATGAAGGAAGGCTGAAAGAATTGGGTTTGTTTAGTTTGGAAAAGAGAAGACTGAGAGGGGACATGATAACCGTTTTCGGGTATCTAAAAGGGTGTTATAAGGAGGAGGGAGAAAACTTGTTCACCTTAGCCTCTAAGGATAGAACAAGAAGCAATGGGCTTAAACTGCAGCAAGGGAGGTCTAGGTTGGACATTAGGAAAAAGTTCCTAACTGTCAGGGTGGTTAAACACTGGAATAAATTGCCTCGGGAGGTTGTGGAATCTCCATCTCTGGAGCTATTTAAGAGTAGGTTAGATAAATGTCTATCAGGGATGGTCTAGACAGTATTGGGTCCTGCCATGAGGGCAGGGGACTGGACTCGATGACCTCTCGAGGTCCCTTCCAGTCCTAGAATCTATGAATCTATGAATCACAGGCCTTAGCAATTTGGATCATCACTGTATATGTTCCGGGGTGTTCAGCAGAAACTGGCCTGAGACTCACCAAGTCCATTTCACACAGGGGCTCCTGACTCGCCACCCCATGGGAACAGCTGTCAGTCGTTCCCGAACCAGGCTGGATTCGGAGCCCATGACTAGTGTCCCTAGCCTCTGTTTGTCAGAGGGTGGAGATGGACGGCAGGAGAGAGATGACTTGATCATTACCTGTTAGGTTCACTCCCTCTGGGGCACCTGGCATTGGCCACTGTCGGTAGACAGGAAGCTGGGCTGGATGGACCTTTGGTTTGACCCAGTACGGCCGTTCTTATGTTATGTTATCCCAGCTCTAGTTTCCTGAATCACCCATTTAAAAAGCAAAGAGGGCCAGGAGCACAGTGGCAGGAGCTATAGGCGAAAAGGGTTGGGGGTCAGAAACTGGCATCTCCCATGGAATGGCAAATTCTGTAAAACGTTCCATTTGGAAGCATCGGGTTGTTTTGTTTCAATAACGTCCAAACGTTTCATTTCAGTCCGATAAAGATCTTTCATTTTGGCTCTCAGTTTGATTCACGTTGGTTTGACTTTCCTATTAGATGAAAATATGATTGGATCAGATCGAATACGTATCGTACCTAAGTATAGGATATTCATTTTCAGAGTTTCGTCTAAGAGAAAAGTCTACATGAAATGAATTGACACACATGTTGAAATGAAATGTCTTTACAGAAAGTACACGTTTGTTTTGTTGTGCTAACGTCAAAAGTCGAAACGATTCTGATCGACTTTTCCTCCCATAGAAAAACGTCAGCGAAATTGACGCATTCCTACAAACGTTTTCCAGCAGCATGATGTTTCGCTGGAATATTTTTGACCAGCTCTAGTTGGGGGAGGGGTTAGTTGCAACATCCTAGGGGCCAAGTCCTCAGTGGATGTAAATTGGCCTAGCAACTTTGAAGCAGAGGGAAGAAAACTGATTTACGCCAGCGGAGGAGCTGGCGGTATGGAACCCAATCTGTGACATGACGTTCTTCTCTGTCGTTGAACTGTAGATTAAAAAGCTGCTGAAGGAGACGGAGAAGCTTTCGGCAGAGATCCTGGCCCTGCGCAGCGAGAGTGCTCGTCTCCAGCTGCAGTTAGAGGTGAGTCGCGTGCTGCCCTGCCTCTGTAGGAATGCTCTGAGCGCACGGCGTCTGCTCACCAGGCCAGGTGATTGTGGGAGTTTTTACAGTGGGAGGTGCCGGTTCACCTGGGCAGTGCAGCATTCTAATACCCAGCACAATAGAGATTCAGATTGCAAGGCTCGTCCATCCGCATTGCAGTCAGGGTGCTATTTATAGGTCTGAGAGGCAGCGTGATCTAGTGGGTAGATGCTCTGGACTGGGACTCAGGTGACCTGGCTCTGCCACTGACCTCCTATGTGACCCGGAGCAAGTCCCTCTCTATGCCTCAGTTTCCCCTCTCACCCTTTGTCTATTTCATTTGTAAGTTGTTGGAGGTAGGGGCTTTTTTCTTACCCTGTGCACATGCAGCTTCTGGCATAATGGGTCCCTGATCTCTTCTGGGGTGCTACCCTAATAGAAATACAAACACCTGCTGGCAGATTGAAACTCACCAGCACTGTCTATTTTTGTTTTCCCAGGTTAAGGAAAAAAATCACCAGGAGATTGTTACTATCTACAGAACCCATCTGCTCAATGCAGCCCAGGTACAAACCTCAGATGGTCTGGGTTGGTGCTGAGGCTAGTGTGGCTTCAGGTAGATTTCAATACATTTCTGCTCCTGCTGGTTCCCATAACCATTAGGTGATTCTCCGCAGGTTCTCACTGAACTCTGCTGTAACTGGCTTGAGACTCCTAGCACTGAGGTACTGTAGGCTAGACCAGGGGGGACTGGGAGTCAGGATGCCTGAGATTTAATCTCCGCTCTTGGAGGGGAGTGGTGTCTGGTGGTTAGAGTAGGGGGAGCTGGAAGAGAGAGTGTTACAGTCCCCGGATGTAACGACTAGAACGTACTCCCTCCCTGAACTGGCAATAGAGCCCAGGAGTCCCAGTTCTCAGTCTTCACTGCCCTAACCCCTCCTGAGTTCTCATCTCGGCTCTGGGAGGCCGTGTGGTCTAGTGGGGTGAGTACAGTCCTGGGAGCCGGTGTGACTGGGCCTTAAATCCCCATTCTGGGAGGGGAGTGGTTAGTGGTTAGAGCACGGGATTGGGAGTCCTGAGTCCTGTTTCTGGCTCTGGACATGCCTCCAGCCATTTGGAGCGACCCAACAGGGCTGATTAGGAGGTGCCTCGCACAGTCAAGGGGCTAGATTTCCCCAAGCTTACGCCCGGGTGCAGGGTCCCCAGCACTGCACAGCCATGAGTGGGGAAGTTGTAGCCCTGCAAGCCACAGATGTCTCTCTGCTGGGGGACCAAGGTTGGCCTGAAAGCAGGCAGCACTGGGCGTGGATGGGGCAGAGCCAGGGGACAGGCAGATCTGACAGGTCCTGGCAGCAGAGGCTGTGCCTGACAGGCCCTTATGGACGGACGCTGGAGCAGAAAGGAAAATTGCTTTCCCCCGGCAGAGCTTGTGAGGCAGTGGCTGAAGCACGCACTGGCCCTCCACAAGGGGGTGCTGTGGTGCAGAATGGCAAGCCCAGGGCTGGTGGTGGGGTGGGGAGGGCTGCTGGAACGTGTCTCAAGCCAGACCATGGACACCAGTGTGTTACACAACACACTGATCGGGGATGGGGTTTCTTCCGGCTCAGGGCTTCATGGATGAAGAAGTTCACTCGATGCTGCTCCGAATCCTGAGGGCGAAGGAGGAGTGAGCTTTGCCCTCCTCTTCCCGGGAACTAGGATCTTTCTTCTGTGCAAGTGAGTGTGTCTGTCCGTCTGTCTGTCTCTCTTCTTTCCCCCCTTTGCTTCAGAGAAGGCACAGCTCTGCCTGCTCTCATCGAATGTCCCCGTCAGGTCCCCAACGCCGTAGCGTCTGAGCCTTCGGGTGCTGCTTTCATACAAACCATCCCGCTGAAAGACTTTAAGTCACAGCTGGGATGCTCAGTGATCACTCGGCGGGTCGGGTGCTGGCAAGAGAGCGTCTGGCTGGGAAGCTCAGCCCTTAAAGGCACAGTCCTCAGTACAACAGCAGCACCCACCCACCCACTCACCCCCCTACCTGCCCCAGCCTCGGAGCTGGCAACATTCGTGCAGCTCCAGGTCCTCTCCCCGTCGCTGCATGGGGGAGAGGGTGGGGATCGAAGTTTATGGCAAGATACAAATCGTTTGCAAATGAGCTCATTCAATCATCTGCGTTATAGGGTCACACATGGAGCTGTGCAAAGCTTGGCAGTTCGGTGTCTGTGAATCCCTGATGGGGCGGTACCTTAAGGCCACCCCTCTCCCCAGCATGACCCTGCCCTGGGGATGAATCGTGGCCCTGGTCTCACTGAGGCAGCGTTTGTGGGGGTCAAACCCGGGGTGTGCCATAGATGTAGTGCTGCGAAAGGGCCACTAGATGGCGGGGTGGGGCTGTGCAGCTCAGCGGGGCATCATGGTCTTTGAAGTCCCCCAGTATTTCTCTGGGTCAGGGCCGTAGGGCCCCTTTCACAGCTGGAGACCCTGCTTCCAATCGCAGGTGAGGCTGGCTAATCATGAGCAGACAGAGCCAGAATGCCATAGACGACCAGGCCTGTAGAAAGGAAACCGGTGGAGTGAAGCACGAACTAGCTGCTGGCACTGAACTGACCCCTTTGTAGGTGACATGTATATAGACACATGCTACTTCTGCCCCCTTCTGGATGGGCTCAGAACTGCTCACCTGTGTGTCATATAGCCTCTACTGCTAATCGCTTGTGAAGATTCTCCTTTAGTTCAAGAGACGGGGGCTTTTGAAGCAGGAAATTTCCAGGGATCCGAGACGGACAGGGACGGATGCACGCCACGTGATCTCTTCTAGAGCAGGTGCAGTCAGACAGGAAAGGGCCTGCAAGCTGCCTGAAGTATGAAGTTACGCCTCCATTCGGTACAAACCATCCCATAAGACAAGGCTGGATCAAAGCCTCGTGGTCTGTTTCTCTCTACTTACCTGGGCTCATCACTGAGGTATCTCAGGCCCAGCCTCATCCCAGGCCAGTGCTGAGCCCGGCACAGGGAGTGAGGGGGGAAGCACTGTGCTTCCCTTATCCTGGAGCTACTTCAGGCATCCCTGAGATCTGCCTTAACTTGCGCTCAGCTGCAATAGCGTTGCACCAACCGAGGGGAGTGGCCAAGCCATGCCTCCTCCTAGCCCCACTGCACCCAGGCTCCTACAGGGCCGGTGAACTCAGCCCTCTAAGCTGGGAGGTATTAGCCCAGAGGCTTTACAGCCCCTTTGCACTGGTGTAGCCAGCACAGAGGGGCCACGGCATACAGGTGGCTCCTGCCCCCGCTGGGTCCCACAGCATGTAGCTACCCCACTTGGGTCTGAGGGAGGAGGCTGGGGAAGAGGTTTTTCTCCCATTCCATCTGTGGCCCCGGCTCCTCGCAGGGCCCTGATCAAGGGGCAGCTCTCGCCAGGGCAGCTGAGTTCACAGCCGTGACGCAGGGCGTGGGTTGAATCTGGGTACGTGGTGAGCCCGGGGCAGTGGGGGCAGGTCCGCGGGTACAACTTGGTAGAAAGCTGGAAAGGCACAAGCCGACGGCAGAGGTCTGGTTCCCAGTCACTCTTTTGCTGTGACTGGGGCTGGGACGGAGGGGACGAAGGTGGCTTTAAGTCCTCTTTCCACTGCCCATATTGTGGGGCTGTGCAAGGCCCTGACTGTCCCCCAGGGTACATTAGAGCAGCCTCAGGGTTGCTCTAACTTACAGGCTGTTTTCCATGGTCCCTGGGAGACAGAAGTAGCCCAGTGCTTTCCAGCCACACCCCGATCTGCCATTGATCTCCCATAGCTGCCATCTATGCCCAAGATCCACCAGCTGCATAGAGCCCTTATGCCACCTCCATAATGGCCAAGGAGGCCCCGCACAGGGTGGATTCTCGGGGCTGTTTTTGCCCTTTCTAAGACCCCTTTGAGCTGTCCAGAGCAGCACAACGTGTACAAGAGATGCAGCTCCTGCCTAGCTCTTGCTCCGCGGAAGGGTGGCGACTGCAGGGTAGTTTGTTTGGCATGAAATTGATGCTCAGTGTGAACGTGATGCGGGTTGGACAGGCCGCAGAGACTTTCTGCAGCTGGAACAGAGGCTGCGGCTGGGGGCCGGCCATGCTGTTGGCGTGCCGTTTGGCACATCTGATCTCGGGTTGAACTTTAAGCGTTTCCATATGAGAAATGTGATTTCCCCAGGGGAAGGGAGGGGCTGAGGCTATCGCTCATCCCCCATGCAGTGGGAGAGGAGCAGTGGGGGTTGGGCTGCAGATGGGGATGGTTTTTTTTTTTTTTTTTAAAGTGACAGGACGGCTTGTACGCAGGTGTCTTCTTCTGTGGCTATATTGCCTCTGTTTAACCCCGTCAGCACGCTCAAGCTCAGAAAGGGCCGGCCTTTGCTTCCCCAGGAAATCCCAGGGTGTCCCAGTTTGGGTGGCTCAGTAGGGGCCGCTTTCCCTCCCAGGCCGTCCTGGCCCTAGGTTAGCGCAAGGGGATGACTCGTCAAACCAAGGTAAACGCCTAAGGTAGATGCGGTTAAACTGGTTTAAGTGGGTGCACAGTAGGGGTGTGCACTGATTAAATGACATATTTAAATCAGTCAGGCTCATAGATTTAAAGCAAAAGGGATGGTATAATGGGATAGCCTAATTTTGGCAATGAATTGATCTTTGACTATTAGCGGTAAATATGTCCAATGGCCTGTGATGGGACACTATAGGGTGGGATCTGAGTTACTACAGAGAATTCTTTCCTGGGTACTGGCTGGTGAGTCTTGCCCACATGCTCAGGGTTTCGCTGATCGCCATATTTGGGGTCGGGAAGGAAATTTCCTCCAGGGCAGATTGGCAGAGGCCCTGGGGGTTTTTCGCCTTCCTCTGCAGCGTGGGGCACGGGTCACTTGCTGGAGGATTCTCTGCATCTTGAAGTCTTTAAACCACAAGTTGAGGACTTCAATAGCTCAGATATAGGTCAGGGGTTTGTTCCAGGAGTGGGTGGGTGAGATGTGCAGGAGGTCAGACTAGAAGATCATAATGGTCCCTTCTGACCTTAAAGACTATGAGTCTATAATCTAGCGCACCCTTTCCCATATAGACAGGTCCTTAGTCTCTACCAGCACGCAGGCAGTTTTTGCTGCAATTGATCTGCGTCCATGCAGAATGACCTGCCTGCAGAGGTGTGTCATTAAACTGAAATGTCCATTTATTCCAAGGGCTGCAACATTTTCCAATGCCGGCTTCACTCCATTTAGGAACATTCCAGGTAACACCAGGAGGAGACTGGAGGGCCGAGCCCGCACCTTTCCAGCAGCGAGGATAGCGCTCGAGGAACCAGCTGACACATCACTGGGACCACATCTGCCACCCCACTGAGCCAGAGACCCATCCATCAAGGATGTCAACACAAGATGATCACCTCTGCAATAGCTTTGGTTGTTTTTCCCCCTCCCAACTTGCCTCTTCCCGGTCTCCACGTGCTGCTGGCTGAGCACTGGGGCTTTATTTCAAATAGCCCCAGAGATCTGAAATCATTTATCTTTGAAAGATGGGCCGCAGGGCAAGCGTAGCTTGTTATAACAAACCCAGGCGCTGCAGCTGCTAGACGCAGTGACTCGATCAGCCTCTCGCACGCCTGGATACAGGACTAGAACCCAGGCCGTTTTGCGCCACAGTCCCCGCCCTCTACCACTTGCGCTAAAGGACAGCTCCCTTCCCTGCTTGTAGAGGTCATTTCCTTATCTTCTCTGAGGGCACAGCTAGCTGAGAGCAACAGGAAAGCATGCACCGAGTAAACTCTACTTCAGCCTCCCTTTCGCTGCAGCTGCAGCCAATTATGATTAAGTGTTTGGACTTTGGTGGCACCTAGGAGCCCCCGGCATGGAACAGGATCCCGGGGTGCTAGGGGCTGTACAACCACAAAACAAAATGACGGTCAACCAGGGTTCCTTTTACTGCCTCACCTTTCCACCACGGAGCAGTTTCTGTTCACCGGGTGAGCAAGGTAGTGGGGTTTGCCCTTCAGACCATGTGGCTGCAGGAGCAAATTAGGCTGAGTTGGCCATCGGATACGTTGCAGTAGTGCTGAACTCTCCAATTCAGAGGTGGGGGCAACTGAGATTTCCGTCCTAGTTCTTTGCTTCCTGCTGGATCCGGACACAGTCTGATCCTGCTCCCGTTGGAGTGAGTGGCCAAAGTCCAATTGATTTCCTAGGTCTCTCAAAAGCAGACAGATCCTTGGTGCGCCTCTCTTACATCACAGGCTCTGGCTGGCTGGCTTTCCCCTTGCCTCGGTCCTGAGTCTGTTTGGCGGTGGAAAGAAAATGACCCACTTCCAGATGTTTATTCTGGAAACAGGCTTTGGTGCAAGACCAGGTCCTTGTGGCTATCTGAGCCGTGCTGGGGCGGAGCACCCGGGAGAATGAAAGCGCTGAGATCAGCAAACAGAAGGAAGGGGTTTCCACTGAGCTACAAGCTGAGATGCTCTTGTGGGCCTAGAATTTTGTCACATGGTCTCAGCCGTGCGACCCAAAAAAGACACTAGCATAGGCAGTGTTGTCTAGTGGGTAGGGGACGCGACAGAAGACCTGGGTTCTAGTCTTGACCCTACTGCGTAGCCTTGGGCAAATCATGTTGCGGCTCTGTGCCTCAGTTTCCCCTCCCAGCCTTTGTCTATTTCGATTGTAAGTTCTTTGGGCGGGGATTGTTTCTTAAGGTGTGTTTGTAGAGTGCCCGCCCTCCTCTGGGCTGGGGCCCCTCGGTGCTGCTGTCATAGAAGTAACGAATGATCTATGCAATAAATAATAGAGCAAGATCCTCAGCTGGCGTAAATCCGAGTGGCAGCGTTGAAGTGAATAAAGCTAGGCGGGCTGAGGATGTGGCCCAGTGGCTTTGTCTTTGTCACTCAGAAACCTATTAAATTGGAATTTTGGAAACTCTTATTTTCTTCTCGTCTTCCGATGCTGTTTGTTTGTTTTGTTTATTTCCCCTGCGCTGCTGGGCTTCCATTCCGCTTATCGTCAATTTCTCCGTCAGGGTTTGGGGAGAAGAGAAAGGATCTGGGGGGCCTGACCAGTGCTGAGAGCGGAGGGAAGCTCCCACTCCCCTGCCTGGCTTGGAGAAGCCCCACACCCACCCAAACGCCCCACAACTCCCCTCTCTGGCTTCCAGGAGCTGCATCTCTCCCCCAGATTGCCCTCCCCTCCTTGGCTTGGGAGGCCAGCACCGTCCCCTCACCCCCCCTGCCTTTTCCCCAGCTTTGGCAACAGCTCCTCCTCCTCTTTATTGCACTGCTATGACCAGGTCGATTTCCATTACAGCAGGGCCAGGTGGCTAGCGTAGACCAGGCTGCGCGGTATTGCCATTGGAATTGCCACTAGAAGGCACCCAGGACCGTTCATGGTCACCCCACCCCTTGTGCGATCATTTCCATCGCGACGTTAGGCCGGAAAGGGGAACGCGGACAGCCAGCGAGAACTCCTCCCACGCTGGCTGAGGTGGTGAGGGCTTGGCAAGATAGGTCTTTGCCAGCTCCCATGCTATTGACCGCCTGACTTTTGCATTGCAAGGGGGTCCCAGAGACTCATCCCCTCCCAGACGTGCTCTCACCCCCTTAAACCACACATGGCCGGAGGGGTGCGTGTGAAGGGGGAGGGATGTTGTGCAATAGCTTTGAAGTGTTAGGCACGCCCACAATCATGCCACGACCTGCCCGCTGCTGCTCATCTTCCTTCAGCTTTAATGCTTCACGCTGGATCTACTGCCGTACCAGAAGAGATGCGAGAAGCTGCTATTCTGCCTACCCAGGTGCCCTCCTTAATCTGATCGCCTCGTGATCGCTGGTAGCTTTTTATCCTCACGCCACCCCCCTGTGACATAAGGAGTTTTATCCCCATTTTAGTACAGGAAAGGGCACTGAACAGATTAAGCAACTTGCCCAGGGTCACACAAGGAGTTGGTGGCAGAGCCACGAACTCAACCCAGGTCTCCTGAATCCACATTCTGTGCTGTATCCACTAGATCGTCCTTCCTACCAAACACAATCAATTGCATATATGCATAAGCTCCTTCCACAGCGGTCATAGAATCATAGAACTGGAAGGGATCTCGAGAGATCATCTAGTCCAGTCCCCTTCACTCATGGCAGGACTAAGTATTATCATTCTAGACCATCCCTGACTGGTGTTTGTTTAAACTGCTCTTAAAAATCTCCAGTGACGGAGATTCCACAACCTCCCTAGGCAATTTATTCCAGTGCTTAACCACCCTGACAGTTAGGAAGTTTTTCCTAATGTCCAGCCTAAACCTCCCTTGCTGCAAGTTAAGCCCATTGCTTCTTGTCCTGTCCTCCGAGGTTAAGGAGAACAATTCTTCTCCCTCCTCCTTGTAACAACCTTTTATGTACTTCAAAACTGTTCTCATGTCCCTTCAGTCTTCTCTTCTCCACACTAAACAAAGCCAATTTTTTCAATCTTCCCTCACAGGTCATGTTTTCTAGCCCTTTAATCATTTTTGTTGCTCTTCTCTGGACTTTCTCCAATTTGTCCACATCTTTCCTGAAATGTGGTGCCTGGAACTGGACACAATACTCCAGTTGAAGCCTAATCAACACGGAGTAGAGCGGAAGAATTACTTCTTGTGTCTTGCTTACAACACTCCTGCTAATACATCCCAGAATTCAGTGTTGCCAGCACCAAGCAAAAATTATGATCACCCCCCCAAAATCACGAGATTGGCTTCAAAACCATGAGATTTAAAAAAATAATTTTGGGGTGCTTTGTAGTCACCTTCTGGATTTTGTGCCTCTGGGGGTCACGCTTTCAAGATCTTCTCTGCAGCCGTGAGGGCTCAGAGCTTGCTTTAAGAAAAAGATTGTCTCCTAATCACTTCCCTCCAGGAGCTGGGGCTTTAAGTAAAACACCAAATATCGCGAGACTTTGTGATAATATCACAAGAGCTGGTGGCCCTGCAACTACCCAACTCACTGCTGATCAGAAAATAGCCCTGGTGTTCGAGCCAACTCGCATGACCAACGGTCATGGGCATTTTCTGACCAGGAAGGAAGTTGGTTTGCTTTGCACAACCTTCCTGAGCATGAGTTTCTTTAACAATACGAGAGAGAGAGAGAGAGTGTGTGTGTGTGTGTGTGCAGGGAGTGTAGTAGTTTATTATTCTGTTCACCTGCTCGCTTCTTCTAGCAGAAACAGCTCAAATTCAAGATGAGAAGCAGTATGTTCTGCTGGAACTGGCACTGGGCTAGGAATCAGGAGACCTCGGATATAGTCTTGGCTCTGCCACCGCTTTGCTAAGTGACCTAGGGCAAGTCACTTCCCCTCTCTGTTTCCACCCTGGCTATTTAAACAAGGGCATGGACTGTCTCTTACTCCATGTATTGAAAACTCTCCTATGCCAGGATGCAGACAAAAAACTTGGCGACAGTTAGGCAGCTGACATGCAGAGACCGTTGTTGACCATGCTGTCCCATACTGTCTCATTGTTTCCTTCCCTGTCTGTCCCTACCTGTTGTCTTGTGTCTTATACTTAGATTCGAAGGTCTTTGGGGCAGGGGCCATCTTTCTGTTCTGTGTCTGTACATCACCGAGTGGCATAGGGCTCCTGGAGCATCACTGGAGTTCCGAAGCTCTGTGGCAATAGAAAGGATAAATAATCATGTGTGTACAGCGCAGAGCACCGTGGGGGGTGTCCGATTTTGTGGGAGACCTGTAATGTGGCGTCGTGGGGAAGGCAGAGCTGCCAGGACACACGAGAGCCCGGCAACCTGACCCAAACGCGACTACAGGCATCGGGGTCGGGTCAGGTCAGGAAATCGAGGTGATTCTCTCGGGCTCGGCTCTCCTCCTCCCCCCCAGTGGGTCGGCCCCACCCTGCTGCTGTGAGTCACTCACGCTGCAGCACGCACAGCGCAGCCAGGGGCGGTGGATGGCAGGACTGGGGCACACAGCCACTGGTGAATGCAACCGCCGCGGTGCCGACCCCATGGACAGGAGGAGAGACGGCCCAATGTAAGCCCGAAGGAGGTGGCGGCGCTGACTCAGGTTCAGGGGGATGAGTCAGGTAAGAAAACAACTTGACCCGCTTGGGTTAGGTGGGCTTGGGTCCGATTCGGGTCTGGTTCGGGCTTAAAAATTAGGCCCTACAGACTCCTAGAATGCTCAGTGAGCGTCTGGACCTGTGATACGTACAGACGTTTGGCCGGCAGAATAACCACAAATGTCACATGCCCGATGTTATATAATACAATTGGCTACTATAATAATATTAACGATAGCACTTTGCACTTCCATGAAGTGAAGCCTCTTAGCCCCCAGAGAGATAGACAATAGCCTCATTTCATGGATGGGTAAACTGAGGCACAAGAACGCGTCGGTGGCAGATCTGGGCATAGAAGCCAGGCATTCTGAGGCCCAGTCCCCCTGCTTGATTGATTGATTGATTGGTCGCTCCCATTCTCTGCCTGTGGTGTACAGTTTAGTTTCCTCAGGCCTGAAACGCTTTGGTATAACTAGAGTCTTTGGGATTAATATAGGGGTATCTGGGTGAAATGGAACGGCCTGTACTATACAAGAGTCCGACTAGATGGGCTAATGGGCCCTTCTGGCCTTAAAGATCTGGTGATTGCATCTGGCTTTAGAATCTGTGAATCCAGGAAAGACAAACCCCTCCTGACAGGTTGGAGCTGGGAAGCGTGGAAATGTCTGTTCAAAGTGGGGGTGAGGGCAGGAGGGGGAGAAAGAAGGTTGGGGTGGAGGGACAGTCCAGGGTGGGGCATAGGTGCTGGAAGTAGGGGTGCTGCTGCACCCCCTGTCTTGAAGTGGTTTCCATCATATACAGGGTTTACAGTTTGGTTAAATACCTCTCAGCACCCCCACTATCCAAATTGTTCCAGCAGGCCTGGGGTGGGGCTGGGACGGGAGGGATTGTGGGGAACTGAAGAACTGAATTAGCCCAGGTGAACCCCACATGCCAAGCATCCTGGGGGTCACCCATCACTGACACAAAGCATTGGGGTGAAAGGGTCCAATTCTCCACTGCCCTACACCTTGCCGTAGGCATCTGAGGCAGCACTGAGCGGGCGTGAAATGCCACCGGCTCCCAATGGGGAGCAGATCACACGGCACATGGACCATGGCAAGGTGGGACCAGGTCAACAGAGCCGCTTGGCTGGATTGGGGGGGCCCAGCAGCAGGGATCCCACGCTGGGAAGGCGGGCTTGGATCTCTGCCCTGTTTTTGCGGCTGCTTTGCAGGAGCTGAGCTCCAGGGGGCAGCAAGGGAGGGTTGGTTATTTATTTAATCATCTGTATGATCCTGAGTTCCTGGAGTTTGCAGCTAAAGAAAGAGTCAGGCAGGCCGGGGTTTGGGAGGAAAGGGTTAGTTGTAGGCTTTCCCTGGCTGGATCCCTTTTCTGCTTGCAGACCCACGCCTCCCCCCGCAAAAACACCCTGAAATCAAACCCCCTGCCCCCCCCAAAAACAAACCAAACCAAACCATAGTAACTGCAAAGCATGGGGCCTGCGGAATCTGCTGCCAGCTGTACCCGGGTTAACCACTCCTGACCTGACCCAGAGGAAGGCCTGGGCCACAGTGAACTTGGTGAGTAAGGAGACCCGGGAGGGGGGGCTGCTGGGCCTCCAATCCACCCTCCTCCTCCTGCCGCTTTGCCAATAGGAGGGGGAAATCCAGCTGGCCCCAAAGTGGGTTTCCTGCTGCAAGAGAAACTTTGCTGCTTCCAGTGTCTAGATCCCACAAGCCTTCCCTGCTGCCCCCCAAACCGCCCCGGGGCCCCGGCTCTCCCACATTAACTCCCCGCTGCCCCCCCAAACTACCCCAGGGCCCCGGCTCTCCCACGTTAACTCCCTGCTGCCCCCCCAAACCACCCCAGGGCCCCAGCTCTCCCAAATTAACTCCCCACTGGCCCCAAACCACCCCTTCCTCCACCATTAACCCCCTGCTCCCAAAGCACCCCCTCCCCTGATTAACCCTCCTGCCCCCATCACCCCTTCATTCAGATTAACCCCCTGCCCCCAAACCACCACCCCGATTAACCCCTTGTCCTCAACCCACCCCCCAGATTAACCCCGCCCTCCAAAACACCGGCCTCTTTTCAAATTAAACCCTTTTGCCCCCCCCAAGTACCCGCTCCCTCCACCCGCACACCCTTCTTGATTGGAATGGGGAGGGGCTGCTTTGACCCACCCCGTGGCAAGGGCACCCTGGGGCCGAGGGACTGAGCTAGGCTGAGTCAGGAACGGTACTCTGCAGCGGGAGCGTGCCTCCATGCTGATAGTACGTGCGATTCCTGGGAGGGTAGGGTGGGCTAGTGGACAGAGCAATGGACTTGGGAGTCTTGGGGTCTATTCCTGGCTCTGGACCTGACCTGCTGCGTGCCCTTGGATAAGTCATGTCCCTGCTCTGTGCCTCAGTTTCCCCTCAGACCCTTTGTGTATTATTTATATTGTGAGCTTTTTGGGGGGCAGGGGCTGTATGTTCAGTGCCCAGCCCAATGGGGCCTGGATTTTTGTGGGGCACCTAGGTTACACGGTCATGCTACTTATGCTCATAATACAGCTACCACTATTATTACTATGAAGAGTAAGTAATATTACTACAATGAAAATGACTTTTAATTAATACTAGTGATGAATAATATTGCTGTTAGATAATATCTAATAACTGACATTACCACAGCTAATATTAAGATGAGTTATCGCTAATAATGAATACTAAATGATTCTACAAAAGAGTAATACCAAGAAGACTAAATAACTCATAATGAATATCGCTACCCGGGGTGTAATGAAAACGGTGTTAAATTGTAGGCTGTCACTAATTTCAGGGGGTTTTCCTGGTCCTGCTTGCAGGCTAGAGGGCTCTGTAGGGAAGCATGTGATCTGGGTCTAGCAGTAGAAGTCAGCAGCTTCTAGTCCACATCCCTGAGCAACATAGTTAAGCCAACCTAAGTCCCTGTATAGACAGCACTAGATCAGTGGAAGAATTCTTCTGTTGACCAAGCTACCACCTCGTGGGTAGGTGGATTAACTACAGCATTGGGGGAACACCTTCTATTGCTGTAGTAAGTGTCTATACTGAAGTGCTACAGCGGTGTGCTTAGAGTGTGTAGACATGAGATAGGGTGAGTTGTGCCTTGCTCTTTTTAGGGAGCAGCCTGTTTTGTCTCTTTCTGGTTTTAGGTTCATGTGTGTTACTATTCTGAATTCTAAGCAATAAAGTGGTGGTACGCTTCAGCCTTCCAGCAAGAGTAATGATGTTTTTATCTAATTGCTCTGTGTGCATGCTGTGAACATAACACTTAGTGATGCTACTAGTAAAAAACAACAACCCCCCATAATTAATGGCCCGATCCTTGCTGACTCGTATACTTAACTTTAAGAGCATGAAAAGTCCCACTGAAGCAAAGCGACTGCTCATGTGCTACGAGCTAAGCATGTGCAGGAGTGGGACCTCAAATTCTGAATGAACAGTAAAACCAGCTGATATTTGTATGAGTAATAACACATCAAGGGCTGCATGCTTTGTTGCTTCTGCAGGCTGAGCTCACTGCACACAGCAGGGATTCCTTGCATCCTCATTCCCTCCCATCCCCCTCTATTTCAGCAAGCCCCCCAGCTTCCCTATCATGCCAGGGACTCTGTGTACCCCCCCCCACTCCTCTCCCCCTGCTAGGATCCCTTCCCCCCCCATGCCAGGATCTCCGATTGCCTCCCACCAGGAGCTCAGCATCACCCCTCCATTCTCCTCCTCCTCCTGTCAGGAGTTGTGTATGACCTCCCCCTGCATGCCAGCTGTGCCAGGGTTAGGGTGACCAGACAGCAAGTGTGAAAAATCGGGACGGGGGTGGGGGGTAATAGGAGCCTATATAAGAAAAAGACCCAAAAATCGGGACTGTCGCTATAGTCGGGACATCTGGTCACCCTAGCCAGGGTCCCCCGTTCTCCCCCGCATGCCAGGGACTCCGTGTGTGCCCCCTTCCCTTCATTCTCCCCAGCCTCCCATACCAGGGTCTCCCATATTCCCCCATGGCAAGGGTTCTGTGAACCTCCCATTCCTTCCTTCCTTCCTTCCCCTGCATGCCAGGGTCTCCCATACCCCCTCCCCCCCAAACCAGGGCTCTGTGATGAAAAAAATATGAATGGTACTTCCCATACTAATGAGCAATTGTAGTAACTGATATTGCTATTAATATTCACAGCGACAAGTAGTCCTATAAATATTGAGTGGTAATGTTGGTAAATAATTATCTAGTAAGATTCAGGGCTAATGCTGATAGTAACGAATACCCTTGTTAATACTCAGGCCTAGTGCCTTTAGCAGCCAATGATCGTATCTAATCCTCAGGGCCGATAACTAATACTGCCATTAATACTCAGGGCCAGTGCTGTTCGCAACTATTATTCAGGGCTGATAGTAACTGTTACTTCTGTCAGTTCTCAGGACTAGTGCCAATTGCAATCAATACTCAGGGCTGCTGCTATTAGCTACTAATACTTATGGCTGATACCAACTCATTCTCCTATTAATACTCAGGACTAGTGGTAATAGCAACCAATACTCAGGACTAGTGGTAATAGCAACCAATACTCAGGGCTAGTGCTGATAGCAACCAATACTCAGGGCTGCTGCTACTAATACTACTATAGCTA